AAAACGCAGCTCTTGGTGTTTATCTTTATCCCCATGCTTACCTACGGTCATAAATCGTGTACCATCACTGTAAACTTCGAACCCGGGTACAAGCTGCTAAAATGGGCTTTCTTAGACAAGTCGCTGGCCTTTCGCCTCTCGATATGGTCCGGAATAATGACACCCGGAAGAGCCTTGGTATACAGCTGCTGCTTTTTCAGATTGAAACGTCACAACTACGATAGTTTAGGAACATGTTGCGACTGCCTCCAGAAAGGAAGGCAAAGCTACTGCTATCTGCTCAATTGACCGGCGGAATATTCTTGGGACGGCCAAGGCAAGTGTATCGAAGAACTCTGGTCGTCTTCTGCAGTTGTTCAAACGCTGTTACAGTTTCTTGAAATTGGACTGCAGTGTCTAACGGATCTGCATCAGTAACCTGACAGCAGAACGGGTCATGGAAATTGAATTGAATTGATTTAATTGGATTGGTTTTCTATATGCAGAAATGTTTTGGGATTCTTCTTTGTTATGTGTAGATGTGAAAGCAAACTCATTGATATCTTCGCGTTCTGTCGTTGTCTTAGTTTTGTCTGTAGGATTGTGGATGCCTGGTTAGTTTAGAAAGTTCGAAAAGCATTTTAAATAAAATAAACATTACACATACGACGAAAAATGGCAGGTTTAAGTTTGTGAGACAGTTGATTTTTAGCCTATTTTTATGATTCTCAGCTAGCGTTAAATTTGTAGTCGAGCCTCGTCAAAACTTGGCGCTGCTGTCGCTGCCTAACGATGTCACCATTTAAATAAACAGTCAGTGCATTAAAGATAAATGAGGCAGGAGTTGATCAATCGGTAGAATGTCATACTCAGAGTCGTGGGGTCCCAGGTTCGATCCGTGTTCAGGTCCCTCACCTTTCTTCACCAGAAATTTATTAATGAGTTCCACTCCCTGGGAGCGAGACGAGGTTGCAGACTGTATGCTTGTCAAATGGCTACTTTTTCTCTGCCTTTAAAATAAGGCACTCCTGACTGATGGCATGGAAATAGAGATCAGCGCCTCACTACTGGCTTTCTGAAATAAAAGCGCTAGAAATTATCCCATCATGAAAATGGAAGGAATTCCAGCCGACATTCCAACGATTACAAACTTTTCTATTTTGTAAGGAGAAACTGCTTCGGGTTTAACTGGTTGAATGTCGGTTATAGCTGATCCACTCCATTTCACCGTATAGTATCGATGACGTGGTTGTTGCATGTTTTTAGCAACCTGGCTGAAAGTCCAGCTGTTAATTTACAATAGATACAGTGGACAAGATGAATGAATGTAACATTGTGGAAGTTACACTTCAGCCTTACGGCTCAGATTAAATTGTTATTACTACTTCTTCTAGATGGCATGGTGTTGATCGATGAGTCAATTATCGTCTCAGGCAAACAGGTGTACACAACTTTAGTTGCGGCGTTTCGGTACGGTCGCGAAGATCTGGATGTACTAGGGCTTCAGTTTCGTAAAGATCTAATTTGCTGTAACTTTCAAGTCTATCCGCCTGATCCCGCCTGTACCTATAAACTGACGAGGCTTCAAGAGAGGCTGAAACGCAAGTTGGGTAGCAACGCCTACCCGTTCTGGTTCAAGGTAGGTTGTTTCGCCTGGAATTATGCACACAAAAAATGATGTCATTCCAGATTCCCACATTTTCACCGTCGTCTGTCACGCTGCAACCGACCCCGGGTGACACCGGAAAGGTATTTCTTAGTTCGTTGCTTGCACGACCGTACTGTACTTTCCGATAATGCCTGTCTTTAGCCCTGTGGGTTGGATTACGAATTGAAAACTTACGCTGTCGAAAATGCTGATGAAAAGCCAAGAAAGACGTACGCAGGTTTTTTTACTATTGCCATAGCGACAGTTTAGAAGAAATTCAGTTTTCAGACATGATTTGTTTCCAAAGTTAGCATAATTGTAAATAAGGTAACTACAAATTTTAGCTAAGTTTCTCGTTGTCAGGCGATCAGCGACAGGTAGACAGATGAAGTAATGGAACACTACGATTAATCATGCCAGCTAATAGCTTTCATCAATGCTTTAGTGGCTGAATCGCTTTCTGATGTTCAGATAGCGAACGGGTTCATTCTGACATGATGATTTAATATAAGTAACACTATCCATTCGTTAAGCAACGTTTTCTGTTGCATTTTTTGTGCTAAGCTTGTTCATTCGTAAACTTCTGTTTCAGTTCAGTGTGTATGTGTGAAAGTATGGTCCCGTGATATTCATTTGGAGGTAAATTTGTCATAACATGTTGAGAAAGTGGGAAAATCTGTCATTAACACTTCACAGGTCATCAAATGCGCTATACTAATAAAAATGTACCAGAAGATTAACGCTGCTCAAATGTGCTGCTCACCTACTTCACATGCATGACAGATCCGTCTGCACATTCAAGCACAAAATTGCTATACATCTTAGATCTTCTGCGCTTCCGATTCAATAGTTTTTGGCTCAAGACAAAGGTTGATGTTACGAAACCTTTTTAATACACGGTTATCAACGTTTCGGCTACTCAACAGCCGTATTCTTCAGGACAGAAGGATAGCAACGTCTGTTACAGTGTATACTGAAACTCGCGTGATCAGTAGGCGGACGCAGTAAACCAAATCCTTTGGCGATGTCAGAAGTGGCTGTTCAACCATCGCATAGCCTGTGCTTATTAACTGAGGTGAACAGTGATTCTTTGTTCACCTGTATCATTGTTTTCAACCACTGGCGTTTCCTTTAACAAGATCGTGACCAAATTCTAAAACTTTGGCAATGAAACTGTAGTTTTCTGAATGATTGTTCGCGACTCGTCCAGGTTGATCAATTCGAACTTCAATATGCTAAAAGTTTTTTACATATAAAGCGTTACATTAAGTAGAACAGACTACATTTCTTTTAGTTAGTAATGGCGGGTGATTGGTTGAATCAAATTTCTTGCCAAGCTCAGAACCCATAGTTAGTCCTCAAGAAAACCACACATGCTTTCCCAACAGCCTGCGTATGTCGTCAAATGTGCCGTGGATATATGAAGTAGGGATAGAGTTATTGAAATTGATTCTAAGCGAAAACTCATGAATGGAGTAAGTGATTAAACACTGAACTAAATGCTTCGCTTCTATGTTTTTCTAGATGGAATCACAAATATGCTTAGTTTCTTCAGAAGGACGTTTTCGGCTGTAATGTTTGAATGCTCTGAAACTCACTTATTTTTTAATATAGGTAAAGGCGCTCGAAAACTACAGTAGAAATGAATTTAAATAATAACTGGAATGAGTCGGTTTTCTGTGTACAGAATAATTGAAGGGTCCGTCAACG